AAAAAAAAAAAAAAAAAAAAAAAAAAAAAAAAAAAAAAAATGGATGTGCAGCATCCTTGAATATAGAACAAAGCAGATTTATGTGGAGGCTGGATGCATGTGAAAACATTTCATCAGCATTCACTGTCAAAAACCCAGTGGAAATAAAGCATAATACCTCCCTAGTCCCCAGAATTATGGAAATGTAAAGCAACAGCACCTTCTACTCCCTCAAAAAAGATAATTTCCATTTATTATATCTTTATCCAAATATCAGTACTTATGGAGAAAGGCTCTCTCTTTAGAAACAATCTATTTAGGTATCTAGGACACATTAAAATATAGAGGCAGGGATTTAGAAACCTCACGAGTAGTCATACAGTCAGGTATTTTCCATTGATCGAACAATTTAAACCACTCACTGACATAAATAAAAGTTCACTATACTTTAGAATTTTCCTTCTAAATCAAAGCAAAAGAACAGTAAAAGCTATCCCTCTGAACTTTTCTGTTGTTTTCCTTACCTTGGAGGATTTGCTTCCAATTCTTGAAGTTTTTCTTCTAGCTTTCCTTGTGTTTCAGCTAATTCATCATATTCCTGATAAAAATTAAGTGAATCTGAGTTATCCTGAAGGGTCAGATATCCACCTACTTTCTTTATACCACAAAGTATAAGGTCTGGATCATATTTCCTCTTCAGATCATGTATAGGAAGTGTGGCTCAGTTTTAGGCTGGGGTTAGATAGAACTCAAGAGATTTCTGTTTTTGGAGACAAGCTACCATTGTGGGCCTGGAATATTAGGGGAAGGCAGGGAGCACACAGAAGGAGAAAACAATGGAAGAAACATACTAGTGTGCTACAAAGTAGAGATGAAAAATCATAGCAAGGACCATTTCATGAGCATCCCATGTCCCTAGCATTGGGTAAGTACTTTATACATAATTTTATTTAAGCTTCACAATTACCCTTCAAGGTAGGTATTACAACTATGTCACAAATGAGACAATTAAGGAGTCCAAGCTAACATGGCTTGAGATACCAAGTTAGGGATTTGAATCAGACAGTTTGACCCCAAATGACTCTGAAGTCCATGTTTATTACTATTATTCTAAACTGGTAGGGCTAAACTGATATTTCAGATAAAATGATGAGATTATTAAGACAGGATAAGAATCTGCAGGACAAGCAGGTCTTAAACCAAACTAACCCATTAAGTTCCCATGGCTCCATATGTACCAAACCGTTTTCACTGCGCTGTAGGCACTTGTGATTGGCTAGTGGCTCTCTTTTCCAAAATTCCCAGATCTGTACTATTTCTTAGGATTTCAAGTAAAACCAGTTAGGCCTGTATGTGTACCACACCTTGCATAGGGCGGTCAGATCCCTGTGTTTGCTTTTCACTAAGAACTCGGCAGTAATGTCTCTGGGTGGCTTTACTTCAGATGCTTCTTTGTATTGCTGATGGAGTTCTTTAATTTTCTCTTTCAAATTTACCATCTAAGAAGGAAAAGTATAAATTTACCATTCCAGAGAGTAGTGTAGTTCATGCATATCACATGTACCCTTAGTTTTGGCTCCTCAAAACTACTATTACAACAAAACAGGCTACAATGCAAGGTCCTTAGAATTCTTAAATACCTGTTCTACATCATTATATCTGGGAAACAGGAAAGAAATCTTATAGGGCTTGACATAAAGGTACCACAACTCTATCTGATAAGTAAGATCGGTGCTGTCTTCTAAAATGAACGAGAAGGACAAGGAGTGTCCCATTAATTTAAACAAACAACAAAAAAAACCCAGTGTTGAAATAAATTTAATCTCCACCAAAAAGAAACTATTGCTAATGTAGCTCAAACTTATTTTGGAAAACAAATTGTCATACTGTATTTTTTAAATATGTAAAAGGTCAAATAATTTTTTCCCCTAAGAAACGGAGTTGTTCTGTCACCCAGGCTGGAAAGCAACAGTGCAATCTCAGCTCACTGCAACCTCTGCCTCCTGGGTTCAAATGATTCTCCTGCCTCAGCCTCCCAAGTAACTGGGATTACAGGTGTGTGCTACCACGCCTAGCTAATTTTTTGCATTTTTAGTAGAAACAGGGTTTCACTATGTTGGCCAGGCTGGTCTTGAGCTCCTGACCTCAAGTGATCTACCCACATCAGCCTCTAAAAGTGCTGGGATTACCAGCGTGAGCCACCTGGCCAAAGAATCTTAATGAACCATTCTTAATGTTAGTTTTTTTCAGGTTTCTGATGATACTACACAGAACAAGAGTGACAAAGCCTGCGACTGGGCACCGTATAGGTATCCTGCCACTTGGTAGTTCTTAAGGCACTTTTTTCACTTCATCCTTACCACAATCCATGAAGACTGTGAGCTGGAGACCTCTTCATTAGACAGGATGAAGAAATAAGGCATAGTGAGAGTGAGGCAAGAGTCCAGTCACAGGCACACCCTGAGTATGCACCATAAAGGACCCCTCCAGGGGCTATTTTCTCCCTAAGCTGATGTGACCTTTGCAGCTAGCAGTGTGAGGAGAAACAAATGATTGGACTGTAATGCTCTGGAGCCTGGGGCTCTGGAAGGTGGTGGCAGAAAAGAGCCCTAACAGCTCTGCCCTGGGTAACAGAGGTGGGGGTGGCGGCAATTCAAGATAAATAATTATGCCAATGAACTGGCTGCTGATTTGTTGGTCTTCACCAATGGAACCTTGGCTCCAGTACAGCTAATCCCCTGCTAGTCCTAGAATTCAGCTGAGGACACTGGGATAACTTTAGAACAACTAAACCAAGCTTGTCCAACTTGTGGCCCAGGACAGCTTTGAATGTGGCCTAACACAAATTCATAAACTTCCTCAAAACACTGATTTATTTATTTATTTTTTTAGCTCATCAGCTATCATTAGTGTTAGTGTATTTTGTGTGTGACCCAATACAATTCTTCTTTTTCCAATGTGACTGAGGGAAGCCAAAAGATTGGACACCCCTGAGCTAAACGGGACCAGACACAGAGGAAAGATGAACTGTTTCCTCTGGCAACAATTTATCAACAATGCCACACTGAAAGACTGACATATATGGCCGGGCGCGGTGACTCAAGCCTGTAATCCCAGCACTTTGGGAGGCTGAGGCGGGTGGATCACGAGGTCAAGAGATCGAGACCATCCTGGTCAACATGGTGAAACCCCGTCTCTACTAAAAATACAAAAAATTAGCTGGGCATGGTGGTGCGTGCCTGTAATCCCAGCTACTCAGGAGGCTGAGGCAGGAGAATTGCCTGAACCCAGGAGGCGGAGGTTGCGGTGAGCCGAGATTGCGCCATTGCACTCCAGCCTGGGTAACATGAGTGAAACTCTGTCTCAAAAAAAAAAAAAAAAAAAAAAAAGACTGACATATACAACAGTCTCTTTTGTTACTCATTATTTTCTTACGAATGAGTTCCAGCTGTGTAGACTTTCTCTTCCATGGAGGAAAAAATCTCAGGAATGCTTTTAAAATTTCTAAATTAAAGACTTTTTCTCCTATTAAAGCTTCTTCAGCTATGAAGAAAATACAAAATTTCACCTTATTAAGAAGCTCTTTCAATTCTTCCTGAGTTTTCACGATCTTCTTCCAATGTTCGATCTGCTCATCTTTGACATGCTTTTCTTGCAACCTAAGAGAGAGAATATGTATGACCTGGTCTCACAGTCAACTTTGCAGAATAAGACAGGTGCCCATCAAAAACATTTAAGGGCATCAGGGCCCACTGAAACTTCTAATACTTAGGAACAAGAAAGTTGGCTAGTGGGAAATTATTTCCTAGGCTATCTTAAATACAGTATAATACTATAAAAACTATGAATTTTAGAAGTGAAAGGGGCCTTAAGGGATCATATAATTATTTTAAATGATTTTTAATTTGGAATTCAATGGTTTCACACAAAAATAAGTAAAAACTAGCTCAAATAAGACTTGCAGAAAAACTGAAAACATAAATAGCAAATCTTTACACATGGAACTCACTACACAGTAAGCAGTATCAAAATACTTACTGAATGACAACTTCCAATGCCTGGCCAAGGGACACAGGCTTATTATTGAGGACATTGAAGTCTAGCTGATGACTAAGGTAAGATGTAGCTTCTAGCAACCGGTTAAATTCTTGCTCTACCATTTCATCTTTCTCTTTAGGAACCTGAAAATCCGAAGTATAGCAGAGTTGGACCTTATAAAACTAAATATAACCATCTATGAAAACACAAATGCTCTACAGTTTATAAAGGTCAAAATATGTATCTCAAAGGGGAAACCTTTGAGCAAAATGATTCAAATTTTCTTTTCTATGAAGTGGTCAAATCCATTTAAATGAGATATGAAATGTTTGGGCCCTGACATTTCCTCTCTCCCATTTCTGCCCTCAGAGCTGGGACTCCACCTCAATTATTAACAGCCACAAGATTTACACTGGTGCTAACTGAAGTCACATGGAGCACAAGGGGCACTGAGCTGACATGCATTAAATTGAGCTGGCTGACATGCAAACAACACACTAGAAAAGTCCCAGAGAACAAAAACTATGTCAACACAGCTGAGGACCTTCCAAGAATAAGGGCAAGATGGGAAAATAAGAAGCCCAAGGTATCTGCTTCCCCTTAAAAGATGAATCTCAGGTGGGAGGAGGGAAGAGAGAAGTGAAATTCACGGCTTCTAGTAAGAACACACTAGCACCTTTATTCTTTTGCAGGGTAATAATATTTTATGGCACCAATAAGTTCAGAATTGAATGTATAAAGCCCTTAAGATATCCATGAGTAAATGAAGGATCAGAAGGTCTGGCTCTTCATTGATGTGGATGAAGAAAACAGATTACAAAGCAGGTCATCAAGCTGCAAGACCAGGATCCTAAGTCACACTGTGTCCCTGCCTATTGATAATATCAGCTAGTTCACACACACCCCTCTGCTACTGCTTAATTCAGCCCAAAAGTAAACTGTATCTGCAATCCTATTGCTGAATTCGTGGCAGAAGTGAGAGAAAGAAAAAATATGTCTAAGGCAAGTATTGCTTGTTATAAGCTGGGCTGATATCAGCTGGGAAATGTGATTAAAATACAGTGACCCTAAAACTGGTAACACAAAAATAAAACACTGAAGTAAATTCTAGTAAACACTAAGACTCAGGAGGAGCGACCTTTTGCAGTCAGAGGTAACTGATTGCTGACAAGACCATCCCGGTAAGATTCTACCTCTCATTTGAAACTCCAGGTTTTTGCACTTCCCAACCCAACAGACAATTTCAAACACTAACCTTTGCTCCTTCACTGATCACATAAGTAACTCAACAAGATAAGCCAATGTGTGGCAGAAAGAATCTGGCAAGAAGGGTAAAAAAAAATGCCCCCAAAAAGAAAGAGGACTGCAACTCTCCTTTGAACTGTTAATATGACAGACACCATAACTGACTTAATGAAAATCATATTCAAAGCAGTTAAGTTCTAAAAGACTATACATGGGAGAGATCAGGGTATCTTTATAATACCCTTAGCCTAAAGAAAATCTCAATCTCCAAAAATATTCTAGTTTTTGTTAAATGAGGCAAAGAATCAGGCTTTGGATGCTTGGTGCCATTTATATCAGGAAGGTACCTAGGATTAGTGGCTCAAAAACCTCTGACCTACTACTCATTCTACTCCGTGGCCAAAAAAAGAGCTTGTTCTTATTACACAGCTATGAGAGCTGATGGAAGAGACCCTTTTGTCAGGAATTTTATTTACTTTCTCAGCTACTTTTCCTCACTGATGTGATATGTGATGGTCATATACAGAGCAACTCAAACAGTGCTAAAATTTTGCTCAGAAACATGCTACTTCTAGTGTAAATTCTGCAATGATGCTATAAAAGATGGTTCTGGAAATCTAAATTTGGTTCTTCTTTCAAAAAGGAAACAATTACATTTTAATGTGAAATCTAGGTAGTTATGAGGTCTTAACTGATCACAGATGCAATGCGCCTAACTGCTTTTCATGGAGTACAAAAGTGATATTTCTATGTGCTGCTTCTAAAATGCCTAGCAAGAGGATGCAATAGCAGCAAGAGGGACTAGATCACATGTGCCTCTACAACAGGGCAGAATGTGTCAATACACAAGTGTGCAAACTGTACAGATTAAAGCTCTTCCAGTGTCAACTGGATGGCTTGCTTCAGACAAGCTTTAATCTTTGCAGCTAGAATGACAGTCACATAGGGAAGTTCAAACTGAAAAAGTACACAGCACTCAGGCTCAGTAACTGGGGTCCAGGGTGTGTGGTAGAGAAATATTTAAAGGGACACTGTCAAGGTTAGAGGGACCAAATTTGACCTTTGTTTCTTCCCTGTTTGCTGAGCAGCCCACTGGATTCATTACACTTTCCCCCTTAGTCCACCCACACCAACCACAAAAAACCTAATGTTTTACACGCGCTTTCAATGACAAAAACTCAAATGGCACCAGCCCAACATATAGGCGCAACTCTACAACAACAAACCAGTGTGAATGTATGATGGAGAGGATCTCTGAAAGGAAAAGATTTAGGTTTCAAGCTTTTAATGGGTTATTGTAAACAGTGAGGAAAATGATTTGAAAAATTATGAAAAAAATACCTTGACAGTGTCCTTTTAACCAGTGCAGCAGAGAGAGAAATAAACTGTAAATAACAGCCCAACAGCCATGTCAAGTTTAGTTTTGTATGACAGCAATAAAATCAAGGCTTTAAACACATAGCATGACAGAAGCAGTCTGTTAGCTCAGAAGCTGCAACCACCAGAGAAATAAGGAACAGATTGTACAGAGACCAAATGGGAAAGTCAAGGCATAGAAATGGCCAAAAGAAAGGCAGTTAAAAAAGGCGAGGGAGGGTGGGGAGAGGGAAGTGTCAGAAAGTGAGGAATAAAGTAAAACTCAAAAGAGGAAAGGAAAAACACAGAACAGTAACAACAACAACAAAATCAAACAAACAAAAACCAAACCAAAAGATTGCTGCCACATTTGACTGACACCAGATGACAGGGCTGCATCTCCGGTACACCACTCTAACCCGAGGCTCAGTCGTATGAGATTATGTGAGATTGTCAGTCACCAGGCCCCATCCATTTTCCACCTAGTTAAGCAATTACAGGAGTGTTGCAAGTGCAACCAGGGAGAGCTTTGCAACCTGCCTTTTTCCCCACTAACATTAAAATTGCACTTTGAAATTGAAGGAAAATTTGGAAAATAATACATAAAATACTTGTCCCTTAAGAAATCAACACTGACTGGGAGAAAACAAAAATGTGTTTTTAATACCCTTAAATCAGAATCATTTTAAAAACAAGCTAGTTAGAAACATTCTATTTGACATACCCAGACAATAAAAGGAACTAACAAATGACTACCCCAACAACCCCAAACTACCCATGTTTTAAGTCATTTATTACCCCTTGATGAGAATCCTTGGATTCTATTAGTTCTACAAATAATTATGTAACAGTAACAAAATGGAATTGAAATACTGGCAATCACTAAACATAAGTCACAATAATTTAAATTTTACCTGACTATTCTAATCTAGATACTTAACTTGTATCCTGAGAAAGAAACTCAACAAATGATTACAATGGGTTTTAAGTATTTCTACAGTGCAACATAGTGAGAATTTGTAACAGCAAACCAAGAAGCATTTTTGGGGAATTGGCCAATAATATAAGAACCTTCTATCTAAGAAGCAAACAAAATGGGTATCACTTTAAACACATTTTGATTGACTTTTTGAAGCTGTTTATTTCTATATGAAAGGCTCCAGGTAAATAGCTCCTTCAAGACTAAGAGACCTTGAAGAGTCTCATTGTTCCAAACAGGTTCAATCCTGATTGTCTTGGTTCTGTAGATTATATCACTAAATATGTCCAGGGGAAGGAAAGCCTATGTGTCTAGCCCATGCAGAATGTGGGAAAGCTAAACAACTTTCTGGACAAGGTCCCTGATCCTGCCAGAAGTCAAAGGAATAAGGACAGCTCTCTTTAGTTCAACCTCTGGTTTCATTCTAACAATCTCTTTAGGTCTTCAAAAAATATTGTACAGCCAAGTCTTCATAAACTCTCCAGCAGCAGAGCAGAATGGAGTTAAATGAAGCAACGTACACTAGGTAAAGAAAGTTCTGAAATGTAGCCAGAGATATCTCCAGAAAGAATCAGGAAAAAAAGCAGTAATGGCCAAACATGGCTAGTGAAGGCCATGGTCAATCTCCATCTCCCCATCCCATGCCATCGAGCACTTCTAGAATTATGGTGAAGCAGAAGATTAAGATTAGTTCATTTGGTAAAACCTGGAAGAAGCAATTTACTTCTGAGGAGTCTAAATCTGATTCTCAACAGCCAAGAGAAATGAGATATAGCTATTATCCCTAAAGAGGGAATATATCTTTAATTCAAATAAAATTCAATGTGATTCTAGGCTGGGCACAGTAGCTCACAACTGTAAATCCCAGCACCTTGAGGGGCTGAAGCAGGAGTATTACTTGAGCCCAGATTTGAGATCAGCCTGGGCAATATAGTGAGACCCCATTTCTATAAATAATTGTTTAAAATCAGGTATAGGCGTATGTGCCTGTGGTCCCAGCTACTCAGGAGGCTGAGGTGGGAGAATCACTTTAGCCCAGAAGGGCAAGGCCGCAGTGAGCGATGTTCTGCAAACATGTTCTGCAGCCATGTTTGCAGAACATGGCTCACTGCACTCCAGCCTGGGCAACACAGCAAGATCCTCCTGTTTCCAAAATAAAAATAATCAGTGTGATTCTATAGAGACTGTTGTCTCTCCCCACTCTCACCACATAAGGAATCTTTTTGACTTCCTTAAAGCAGTGATTACAGTGTATAGAAAAGGTATACACAACATGTCTAAGCAGTTCTTTCTAGCAGTTTTTAGCATACAGTAGAGGTGTTCAGTAAATTCTTGTTAAATGAATAAATTAATAGAATTTGGAAAAACAAAGTTAGTATTATAACTATATTTAAGGGGGAAAAAAACTATTTGCAACTTCAGGACCATTAAAGGCAGGCATGAGATTTTTACATTTATAAACAAGCATGGATTGGCAGTAATGATTTTAAAGGGCAGAGAAAGGCTGTCATAAAGATACTGAAGATGTTTCTTCAAAGGAGGAAAACCAAAAGGCCAACAGGCCTGTATCAAAAGTGTACTAAGCTAAGCACCACTGTTTAAGTATACAAATGAAAACTGGCTAAGTTATGACAGATACCTAATACACACATAGTTAATGGTGTTTGTAAGAGACCTGACACCAATTACTTTTCACATGCTGCCTGTCATTGTTCCTCTTAACAGCTGAGCCATTCCCAAGAAGAAAAATCAAAGCTCAGTTTCTCAAAGCAGTTCCGGAACCCTTTGGATCTCACTTGGTAACCACACACACACACAAACACTCCACAGGAGACCAGAGCCCTTGTGATACAGAATACTACAGCCCTGTGGAAATTTGATTAAGATATCCTTTCATTATCATCCCCCTCCAAGAAAAAGTAAAGCCCTTGAGTTACTAGCTGGTGTACAGGAGATGCAGAAAACATTCAGAGCCATTTTCACCATCTCTCCCACCAATTGTGTTTTCAGTCCCCTCAGCAGAGACCTACAAAATGTTCCCTGAAATGTGAATTACTCTATTTCCCAAACTTCACCATGTCCAGTTAAAGCAGCTGATTATAGCATAGGTCAGAGTATAATTCCATCGCCAATCAAATGAAGGCAGCTGCTATACTAGCTCTGATTGTTTTGTAGGCTTAACGAGTAGAGAGCCCTTCTCCTTAGAGGGATATGCTGAATATCCTTATATTATTTTATATCTCTATCTTATATCCCTAATATTAGTATCTTTACTAGGGAAGCTCTTGTTCTAGTCATTCAAAGCCATGACATAAACTTCCCTTGTCAAAACAAACACAGAAACTCAATACACTAACTACAAATGTAGGAGAGAGAACAGAGAAGTAAACTTTTTGAGGGATTCTTGTGATTCGTGATTAAAACATAAAATAAAAATCACTTGCTACATGATTTCTTTTCCTACAGCAACAAAGTGTCTGGGTACAGAGATATGTCCTTAAGACACTATTACAAGTGATATAACTCTGAGTAACTTTCTGGCCTTCTACAGGATGATATTAATTTCTATATACTAACAACAGAACCAATTACTCCTTTTTTGACTGAAGTTGTCCACAAAGCATAAAGAAACAGAAGCCCATTTCATCCAACAGTTTACTAAAGAAAAATCAAAGACTGAATGAATTCTTACTTTACGTGGGCCTTGCTGGCTCCTAGAGTAACTACTGAAAGAAAGCTCTCAGATGAGACTCAGCTGATGTGCACTCACTCACCCCACCCTCAACTTCGTTGAAATGTCAGCCAGGCATAGTCTGGCTGAGTATGGGAATCTGAACCAGAACATTGGACAACGGATTCTGGTTCTTCAACTTCGATTATGATAACCTCAGGCAAACACATGTGTGAGCTTTAGTTTCTTCTCCTGCAATAAGAGAATAAAGCTACTGACCTATCTCTTTAGATTTCTAAAACCATGAAATGTATTTGTAATTATGAGCATAAATTGTGGGGCTCTTTGTGCTTGTCCTATAAACTTATTCACAAGCTAGTTTAGGCTGGGCATGGTGGCTCACACTGGTAGTCCTAGCACTTTGGGAGGCTGAGGCAGGTGGATCACCTGAGGTCAGGAGTTCGAGACCAGCCTGGCCAACATGAAGAAACCCCATCTTTACTAAAAATGCAAAAAAAAATTGCCGGGTGTGGTGGCGCATGCCTGTAATCCGAGCTACTCGGGAGACTGAGGCGGGACAATCGTTTGAGCCCAGGAGGCAGAGGTTGCAGTGGGCCAAGATTATGCCACTGCATGCCAGCCTGGGTGACAGAGCAAGACTCTCTCAAAAAAAGCTAGTTTACTAGTTAATGGTTGTCTATTCTTACTCTGAGATAGACTACTGGAGCCTGCAGTACAGAAACATTAACATGCCTTATGTTTGATTAACTAAGGCAAGCCTAACTCAAAGCTGCAAAGAATCCATTCCCAAATTTGAGAATGCTTTAAAATCTTAACGCTTGGTTACTACGCCAAATACAAATGCATCAACTTAGAAAATCTTATATAGATCAGAGTAGAATGACAACTATCAATTTTATGGGGAAAAATATCCCTGCATTCAAAATGCTGAAAGCCACAGAAGGTTAACAACTGTTCACAGTGCTACTCAAAGGGCTGATCCTGATGAGATATGGATAAATCAACGCACCACTTTCTTCACTTCTGAAAGTTTTGCTACTAGGATAAAAAAGACACCATCTGAATTAATAGTGTAGTTAGTGGTGTAATTTTTTTTATCTCACCCCACACTGGTAACCAACAGTTAGTTCACAGACTAGCAGCCAGTGCATGCCCACCTGAGGACAGTAGTGGTAGAGAAACAAATGTTTTAAAAAATGCGCTAAAGTTTATCTAATACCAAGAAAGCAGACGTTTCTCTGTATAGCTCTACTAGAAAAAAAGTTTTCTCTTTACTGTTAGAAAGACTTAATGAACCTGCTCTACATTCAGTAAAGTCTAAAGAAAAAGATGGTGTCTCAATGATCCGTGATTAATCTTTACTGTGGACTCTATCTCTTCTTGAGGACAATACTAGCCACTCTGGAGCCTTGCTTTCCCTCACCTCAATTCTGTACTTATTACCTACTATTAATATTATACTTAAAACACTGATTTAATCATGTCACGTCCCCTGTCCTCAAACCTCTCAAGTTCCAACCTACAATCAAGCCTAGCAAGCAACATTCTCCACAACATGGCCCCACCCTAAACTTTCTATCTTCCTATCCTCACTGGTATAATCCCATCCTCCTTTACAGATTTCTCTGCTTTGACTTAAACCTCCTCTGCCTGCAATGCTTTTCCCTTCCATAGACACATGTTGAAGTCCTGGATCTGCCATTCACAAATGATCGCCTTCCCTCCAAATCTCTTACTGCCCTTTCCGTCACATCTTCATACACCCTCTTCCATCTTGGTTCTTCCACAGTAATTTGTTCTTCTATCTAATCCTTGGGTTGACTTTGTGTTACTGGTATTAATATATTTACGGGTGATATGTTTGCGATTTGCCTTAAAATACTCCAGACTTCCCTGGACTCAAAGATGCAGGAATGCGACAAATAAAACAGAACTGGGAAAACAGAGGTTCACTATTAGTACTCTTTCTACTTCTGTCCATGTTTTTAAATTTCCATAATAAAACGTTGGGAAAAAAGAATTATTTCTGTATAAGTACCACTATAGCAGGGACTAGCTTATTCATCTCTACATCCCTTACAGGTCTTGGTAGAGTAAGAAAAGTTTACTCAATTGCTGAGTTAATCTCTACTTCACCCTTTCTCTCTCATTCTGTTCAGTTTTTTCTGCAAGAAGCCTCCTGTTACCTACCCCGCCCAGGCCCTGGTGGGAAATCTGGACCAGGATGGTGGGGATGGAAACCAAAGCGTTCCCTAAGAGTCTGTCCTTCTCTGATACGAACCCCATAAGGCCTTAAGGTAGACAGGAATAAGTGAGGATGTTCCTTGAGACCTATCACACAAAATTCAAGAGCTGGGATCCAACCAATTTTAGTAACAATAGCTAAACCCACCATACACATAAGAAATCTCCCCTGCCCTCAAATAGAAAGATAATATATGCTTATGTCCTAAGAAGTGTGGGCTCTCATCTTGATAAAGGAAGTCAGTAAAATTTTTGCTAAATACAAACTTTTGAATTTCACTCCTAAAAAAATTAGGACCGACTTATGTAATCAAAGCCTATTTTACAGTTGTTAAACTGTGCCACTCCCCATACCATTCATCACTTCCATGCTACTGTCATAGTTAAGTATAGGAAGCTCCTATGCCTCTGGTCAACAAATACTTTAGCCTATCTAAGCATTAGGGAAAGTACCATTTGGCTATTAGCCCATCAAAAATTTTAGCCTATAAACACAAAACTGAAGTCATAAAGAACACATGGAGCTAAAGCACATGATGGAAGGCACAATACAAACAAAACGGAGGATCAGGCCAATTCCACAAGTCCCTTGGAGTAGGGTGGCCACAGCCAAATAAAAAGATTAACTGTCTAGCTAGCCTTCACTAAATATCTAAAGATAAATGTTAAATAGACATGTAAATGTATATACAAGAATCCCTTCCTACACAGCTCAGAGTTAAGAAACAACTAGAATAATGTTACATCATCTCTACCCTTAGATTATATATATACACTTATGTAGGTATATATATGTATGTGTATATATGTATATGCTCATCCATACCATTCTCCTAAAATTGAACTGAACCAAAGAAATGTTGAAAAATTCTGTTTGTCCTCGACTTACAGCTTGTCCGTTCGCTTCATAAAGTGGGCATTTTTGCTTGATCTTGGCCAGTTCCATATTTACTTGTTTGCTGACAACAGCCATAGGATTCCCTCCTAGAAAAAACTCAAGCAATTAAATTCAATAGGCCTATGAAAAGAGAACAAAAACCTCAAAGTAAAAAATATTTTTACTCAAAATAAGAAATGCTCGAAAGCTTACAGTATGTAAATTTCTCAAAAAAAGCACTCCAAGTAAAAATATGTAAGATAAATATGAAGAATGCAAAAAAAATTACCTATAAGCCTACTTATTAACATTTTATTACAGAGCCTTCTAGATTTTAAGTGTATAAAATTATAGACACACACATAAAAGGATCATAACGTATTATTTTATAATCTTTTTTCAACTTAGCAATATACTGTGGATGTCATTTTACATTAATATGAAGTTACATGATTTTTAGTGGCTACATATTTCTTATTGTATAATATTCTAATTTTCTAGTCTGTAGTTTCTAATGCTGTGCTATCAAAAACAATGCTAGGGCTGGGCAAGCTGGCTAATGCTCATGACCTCAACATTCCGGAAGGCTAAGGAAGAAGCAGCTCTTGAGGCCAGGAGTTTGACACCAGCTTGGGCAACAGAGCAAGGCCCTGTTTCTATTAAAAACAAACAAGGCCAGCTATTGTGGCTCATAAAGCTACTGACCTACCTCTTTAGATTTCTAAAGCCATGAAACTTATTTGTAATTATAAGCATAAATTAGTGGGGCTCTTTGTACTTGTCCTATAAGCTTGTTCAAAAGCTAGTTTAGGCTGGGCACAGTGGCTGATGCTGGTAATCCTAGCACTTTGGGAGGCCGAGGTGGGTGGATCACCTGAGGTCAAGAGTTCGAAACCACTGCTGTAATCTCAGTGCTTTGAAAAGATTGCTTGAGTCCAGGAATTCAAATCAGCCTGGTAATATAGTGAGACCTCATCTCTACAAAAAAATTAAAATTAACCAAGCATAGTGGTACATGCCTGTACTCCAAGCTACTAGGGAGGCTGAGGTAAGAGGATCACTTGAGCATGGAAGGCAAAGGTTGCAGTGAGCCAAGATCATGCCACTGCAATCCAGCCTGGGCAAAAGAGTGAGACCATATCTCAAAACAAACAAAAACAATGCCACATTAAAAATGCTTCAAACACAACATTATCTACTTATCTTCTTAGGATAATTTCCTAGAACTAGAAAAAGACACTCTAGGTCAAAAGATATGTAAAATTTACATTTTATATATACTGCTATATCCTTTCGGGAAGACTATTTGGCAGTTTACCTCTCACTAACAGAAGATGACTATCCTAAACCAATATACTTTAAAATTACATCTCTGGCTTTAAAAATTTTTTGAGTCTCAGGTCATGCACTACAGCACAAACCAATAGCTACTTACCAAGACCTGTTACCACCATGGCTCCAAGATCAGCTACATAGTTTCCTTTGCGAAACGTAGCTACTCGTCCACCCACACGATCCTGTTTCAGAAATTAAATAGCCAAAATCATCAATTCTGTTTTAACCACAAACTTGGCATTTTGTGTACATACCATACCATGGCTCTGTCTTCTATAATTTAAAAATAAAGATGTATGGGCACAAAGAACAAACGAAGTTTAACTTGAAGACTATTTGAAGGAGAAGCAGGTAACAAATGATATGTAATTAAATGTCATATAACTAAATGACACAGAATTAAATGATGTGATATAAAACAATTTGACAGTTGGAAGATATATTCAGTCACAGGTACCTCTCTACCCAGCTGCCTATAATACCTTTTAATGTACAGGATGAACGAGGGCCAACCACATAGACCAACACTAAATATCAACTTTTTACCACTGTAATCTGACTCTTACACCCTGATTCCCAATGTTACCTGGGAAAAATCTGATGGATAATTTTTCTAACAAATGGTTCTCCAGTGCAGCCCTATGCCCAGGTGCAGAGAGTCTACTGAACATAGCCTGTTCACAATACCTTTCATCCCTAAATAGGCCCAGGTTTATCACCACTGACCAGGCATTTTCAAGTATGGCTGAGATGTAGCAAAATAATTTAATGATTATAAATAATATAACAGTACTCTGGGGACTCCAAACAAAAATGCATAACAAAACAAAAATGTACACACTAGATTATAAACTCCTCATAGATAGGAATCATAATGGTCCTATTATTCCTTATTGTATTTTTTAGTACAAACTATACAAAGTGCACAAAAATGTTTTGTGAATATTTTAATAATAGTATATCAAGAAAATATTTAATTTCAATTTCCCCATACTCTTAAAAAATTTGCAGTTTAATGCCATTCGAAAATAGATTTCAAAAATTATTCATGAAAATAGCTTGAATAGTAGTATCCTAATATGATGCTCTTTTTCCTACTGTGTGCCACTATTTCTTATTGCTCCTTCTGTTTCCATTTCTCTCTCCAGGACTAACAGAAAAGAACCAATATCTTGGCTTCTAAAAGATGGTTCCTGCCTGAGAAGCAAGTTTTTTTCTTTATCAAAAATAAGGAATTCACTCTGTCCCATCACCAAACACAACTGCCTCCTAACAAAGGATATGTCCAGGAAGGCCCCTAACTACAAGAAACAATGACTTGAAAATATCTGTCAAGAAAACAAATACTTTAAAACCCTACTCACAGAGTACCTTTCAAAGCATTACTATAAAAAATACTTTTTCAAAAACTATAACACTATCCAAAATACTATTATACAAATCAGTTTGGCTTAGTTCAAGTTGTATAATCCTTAATTTGCAACAGATAATTTCCTTACCGTATTTCCATTAGTTCAAGCCTCTAAACTCAAAATGAAATTCTTACCCTGGCTTCCAAAAGTGTGACATCCATTCCAAAACTTTGTAACTGTCGAGCTGCTGCCAAGCCTGAGACCCCAGAGCCTATAATAATTACCTTTCCTGTCTTTTTAGCTAAAAGCAAAAAATGAAAAAAATAATATTTTGTTGTAGGCATAAAAGTTTGTACTTAGAGTCTTATTTCATGAAAACCTCTAGTTTCTTAACATAATATCTTAACGAAGTAAATAGTTCAGAGAGTTATTTTCAAAATATGGAAACTACTTGAAAACAAATTAACAAATATATGAAACTTAAGAACTCAAATTCAATGTCAAACATTTATAAATCAAATCCATTACCTTAAGATTTATTTTCTCATTACCTCAGTCATGTGTTTTAGTATCTGTGATTCCTAGTTAACTGGTTAATAATCTGCTTCATTTACTTCACAATTATATTAGGACACATTCTATTCTACAGCAATTTCCTTTAACCTCTACCCTTGCATTCTTTAGTATCTCTTTTTGAAAAAAATGATTAAAGCATTTTTTTAAAAAAGCAACCATTAGCATAAAGAATGGGTCAATGAGAGAAAGACCTCAAATCTACTTGCAAAATGAACTCCTTTCATTTTGAACAAATTTTGTTGTTTTATTCTGTTTTTTAAATTGGAAATCCAGTAGCTTTTTCTAAGTAGATATCAAACTAGAAATCAAGGCGAATGCACATTAAGAGATTTTATTTTCAACTTGACTTACAAGAAGATTAACTTGGAAATATTTTTAAACATAGACTTAAGAATCAATATAAAATGCTAATGTCATCATAGACATAAAATACAGTCCTGAAACCATAACTTAAAAAGGTAAAATTTATTAGACAGGTAGGAGGTCCTTACTTGGTAGGGGTTTTATCCTTTTATAGATGCCAAAATTGATAAGACCATGACGCTCCAAATAACTGTGAACTCGGTGGACAAGCACAGTATCACCTACAGAATAAGTGGATTAAAAATATGGTTTTATTTTCAGCAGTTTAAACAATATGCTTCTAACTCTTCCATTTCCCCATCATCAAGTCCTTAAAAACATCTTTTCTTGGCCAGCGCAGTAGCTAATGCCTGTAATCCCAGCACTTTGGGAGGCTGAGGCAGGTGGATTGCCTGAGCTCAGAAGTTTGCAACCAGCCTAAGCAACATGGTGAAACCCGTCTCTACTAAAAAAAAAAAAATACAAAATATTAGCCGGGTGTGGCAGCATGTGCCTGTAGTCCCAGCTACTCGGGAGCCTGAGGCAAGAGAATTGCTTGAACCCAGGAGGTGGAGGTTGCAGTGAGCCAAGATCACACCGCTGCACTCCAGCCTGGGTAACAGAGCAAGACTCCATCTCAAAAAAATTAAAACCTTTCCATTAAACTTTAGGTTATGTGACTCCTTTTAAAAAGTAATTCTAAGGCTGGGGGTGGTGGCTCATACACGTAATCCTAGTGGCTTTGGGAGACTGAAGTGAGAGGATCAGTTGAGGTCAGGAGTTCAAGAGCAGCCTGGACAACACAGCAAGACCCTGTTTCTACAAAAAACAAAAAATTAGCCAGGCATGATGGTACATGCCCATAGTCCTAGTTACTCGGGGGGCAGAGGGAGGAGGATCGCCTGAGCCTAGGAGTTCCAGACTACAGGGAGTTATGACTGTATCACTTGCACTCTAGCCTGGGCAATAAAGTGAGATCAGGTCTCAGATAAATAAATGAATGGATGAATGAATGAATGTGATTCTTGGCCAAGTGCAGTGGCTCACATCTGTAATACGGCACTTTGGGAGACGAGGCAGGCGGATTGCTTGACCTCAGGAGTTCCAGACCAGCCTAGGCAACACAGTGAGACCTTGTCTCTACCAAAAAGTTTTAAAAACCAGCTGGGCATGGTGGCTGAAGTGGGAGGATCACTTGAGCCTGGCAGATCAAGGCTGCAGTAAGCTGTGAACATGCCACTGCACTCCAGCCTGGGCAACAGAGGGAGACCCTGTCAATCAATCAATCAATCAATTAATCAATCAATGTGATTCTTAGAACTATTAGTCCGTGAAGCAGACCAAAATGTATAACACATAATTTGGAATTGTATTGATTTAATTTTTAGTTTTTTTTGAGAGACAAGGGTCTCACTACGTTGTCCAGGCTGAACTCAAACTCCTGGGCTCAAGGAATTCTCCCACCTCAGCCTCCTGAGTAGCTGGGACTATAGGTGTACATCACTGTGTCTGTCTAATTTAGAATTTTAAAGAATTTCACACCACCACAGATGGAATGAGAATAAAACCAAACCTTCACAAAGTAGTTATAACAGTCATTTACTTTGGCAAAAACATCACAAGACATTGTTGGTGGTAAGTGGGAATAAGAAAACCAGATAGCAAGCCAATGAAGTGCTAAAGTATTCCACGGATCAAAGCTAGACAACAGGTCTAGGAAGAGTACTTAGCAATCTCTTGCATTCATCTGTTAACACAATTTCAAGGGCAGAAAATGAATAAAAACATAGAAAGCAGGTTTTCTATAAAATTTATTTTTACACAGCACAAGGTGAAACAAAATGGAAATATGAATGAAATAATTAATTATCAAGGAACCATTAGGCTCCTAGAAGAACATATCAACAATCCAGTACAAAACTAGTCCTTCTGAACACACTACTTACTGTTATAAGGTGCTTCTAATTGTTGGAGAGTAGCCTCAAATGTCAGTTGAATCTTTGGATTATCCAACCACAACTGCAACTGCATTTAAATGACATAAATTGTATTACATACAAATAGACATATGCCATTTGACCATCTTTAAAATCATCTTTTGGTTGGCTGCAGTGGCTCACACCTATAATCCCAGCAGTTTGGGAGGCTGAGGCAGAAGGATCACTTGAGCCCGGGAGTTCGAGACCAGCTTAGGCAATATAGTGAGACCTCATTTCCACTAAAAATATAAAAATTGGCTGGGTATGGTGGCACATGCCTGTAGTCCCACCTACTCAGGAGGCTAAGGCAGAAGGATTGCCTGAGCCCAGGACATCCAGGCTGCAGCTAGCCATGATCGTACCATTGTACTTCAGCCTGGACAACAGAGCAAAAGCCTGTCTCAAAAAGTAAAAATAAATAAAATCATCCTTTTAACTTTAAGGCCCCAGACATGGGCTTCCCTTTAATTAAAACAGTGAGGTTATACTCCTAACAGAAACTGATGAAACACAAAACCATATCAAATAAGTAAATTACTGAAGAAGCTGGGGTTATTTAGCCTAAAAGAGAAAACCACCTAGTAACTTGCCAAGTCCATACTGCTAGCAGGGAGCAACTAGCATTTAAACCTGGGTTATATGACTCCAGAGATACTAAATAGATAAAATCTACAAAATCTAATGATCAACTAGATATGTTGAGGTTGGGGAGAAAGGTGTCAAGGACAGCGCCTCCATTTTGGTACAACTAAGCGAGCTGGTATGCCAGACGCTGAATGGAATCACTGAAAGAAGAAATAAGATAATGAGTTTAGCTCCAAGACAACAAGAAGAGATATAAAATAGCTGGATATAAAGCCTGGAGCTCAGAAAAGAGAAAAGGTCTGGAGTCATCTGCTTATGGTAATAACTGAAGTCAAATGCATTGAAAAGGGTTCCTAGAAGAGAAATCATGGCGAGAGGAGAACCACCTTGGGAGTTGGTTCAGGTAATGGCCGATTGTTAGGGATCACCCTACAAAACAATCAGAGAAGACAACCAGGGAGGCAGGAGAAAAAACAGAATACTGAGTTATCGAATCCAAGAAAGTACTGTGTTTAAGAAGAAAGGACCAGCCAGTTATTTCAAATATTGCTGGAAAAAAACAGTAAGATGAGGAATAAAAAATATTATGGTACAATCAATGGGCTCTAAAATGAATTCTCTTCAAAGTGAATATATACTTGCAAAACGCAAGACAAACTAAATACTACTACTATATTTAAATCTTTTTCTTTTTTTTTTTTTTGAGACAGAGTTTCGCTCTTGTTGCCCAGGCAAGTCACGCAGTGGCACAATCTTGGCTCACTGCAACCTCTGCCGCCCAGGTTCAAGCAATTCTCCTGCCTCGGCCTCCTGAGTAGCTGGGACTACAGGTGCCTGCCATCATGCCTGGCTAATATTTGTACTTTTTAAAAAATAGAGATGGGGTTTTGGCATGTTGCCCAGGCTGGTCTCGAACTCCTGACCTCAGGTGATCTACCCACCTCGTCCTCCCAAAATGCTGGGATTACAGGGGTTAGCCACTGCGCTGGGTCATATTTCGGTCTTAGCTAAAAATTAATAAAGACTGCTCCATAAGACAACTTTCAACCAGGAAGAGATTAATTTGGCTATATGTAAATAAACCAAATTACTAAGGGATTATGAACAAATCCGCACAGATATTCTACTCTGTGGCCACTGTAAAGTAAATAGATTTCCTCAAGTGCACGCTGAGCCCAAGTTCCTCACTCCCAACACAAGTCTTCCTTCTCCTCCTATAAAATAATGCTTAGGTCACACTCTAGTTCAATAATCTTAAAGTTGCGATTTTAAAGTACTATAGTTTAAGACTAGGAAATTGATAAAATTCTTGCAGCAGAGCTTGATTTATGTTCTGTTTCACAGCCAGAGACCACAAATCTAACATGGGGCAACCCTTCACCAAATCTGGAGTTTTGGTGAATCAGAGAAGACAGAGATAAATCCGCTGCTCGAATCTAAGTAAAAAGTGAAAACTTCCTTCAGATAAAACAAACAAAAAACCCCCAACAATTTTGCCCCCCTCCAAAAAATCCACTTGGAGCAAATGTTGATATGCTACACACAGAAACTGATTCAATTATAAGACAAATCAGCCTTAGACTACACACTAAGAATTTTCTGTTCATTTTTTAAAATACTCATCATCTTTTCTTCACTGTCTTTTCTGTTTTACAAAAACGCAGGATAATCAATTGCTCTAGCTAAATGACATTTAGCAATCCAAATTTAGCAGTGGTTTTGCAATCTAAAAGCCAAAATAAAGAAACTGGTGGTGGCTAAAAAGCAGACATATCCATGATCTCTCTGAGCTATATTCATATTCAAATTAGCTGAATCACGAAGTAAATTTCTTCTGCTTTGTATCACCCTAGAGTAACATGAGTATGTTCTGAATAGCACTTTTCCCTCGTCTACATACTCTATGGCTAAATAAGAATTCCTGATGAATAAAAGATATGAAAGAAAAATTTACAGAAGATATATAAATTACTAATGTGAAAAAGTAGTCAGTCTCAGTAGTAATCCAAGATATGAAAAAGAACTGAGATGGACTGGGCTCATAAAAGTAGCATAGATTATCACTGTTTTAATAAAAATGGCAGGGCAGTGGGGCTGTTGACTGGTTCAGCCTTTCTGGGAAGCGATCTGGCAATATGTACCAAAACTTTTAAAAAGTGTTCATAGCCCTTTGACAAGGTAGTTTTCCTCCTAGAACTCAATCATAAGGAAACAATAACCATAGGTAGAGTCAAGAATGCATAAGACTGTCCAGAGTTAATTATAATGAAGCAAAATTGGCCACAAATGTCCAGCAGTTAAATTATAACACAATTGTCAGACAAAATATTATGCAGATACTGAAGTTAAATCATTCAGCCAGAGGAAGAAGTTGAACAAGATGAGCAGAACAGGGTAAGGATTTCTCTTACCTTGAGCGGGAAGGACAAAGCGATTTTCTAAAAACATTTTTTAATGCTTAAATAAAGCTTTTTTGTGTGTGTTTTCTTTGTTTGTTTGTTTCTTTTTTTAGTGATGGAGTCTCACTCGGTTGCTAGGCTGGAGTGCAGTGGCACCATCTTGGCTCACTATAACCTCCACCTCCTGGGTTCAAGCAATTCTCCAGCCCCAGCCTCAGCCTCCTGAGTAGCTGGGATTACAGGTGTCCGCCATCATGCCTGGCTAACTATTGTATTTTTAATAAAGACAGGGTTTCACCATGTTGGTCAGGGTGGTCTCAAACCCCTGACCTTAGGTGATCCGCCTGCCTCAGCCACCCAAACTGCTGGGAATACAGGTGTGAGCCATTGTGCCTGGCCTAAATAAATATTCTTAATGTGTATTTATGAATATAGTATGGATTTATGTTGTATTTATGCTGTAAAGTATAAAAGGGATCCAAAAGAATGTATCCAAGAAGGATCTCAATTTTATGAAAACAAAAATTATATATACATTTTTTAAATACCCAAAGGAAAAATAACTATTAACAATGCTTATCTCTGGGAAATAGTATTACAGATAATTTTAAAAGTCTTCCTTCCCTTTCTGTTTTTCCCATATTCTCTATCAAAGCCATATGTACTTGTTATATTCCAGGTGAAAAACCTGACATGGAAACTTACTGTGCGGTTTCTAATGAACAGAAAAACTTTCTGGGTCTGCTGTGGTCCACTGATAATATCTGGAAAACAGGCTGCTTCTTGAGAAGTCATTCGGTCATGAGGAAGTCGGCTCTGGAAAGCTGCTCCCTCCACACCTAACGAAGAAAGCAAAGGACATCCAGGAAAAGCGCAAGTGAATACAAAACAGGGGTAGTAATAATGCTCAAACTCCTTTGCCTCATTCACAGACTGATTTTTTTTAAAACTTTTCAATTGTCTCAATAGCTGAAACTTCCTTAGATATTAGCCACCTGTATGAGCTTAACATTCCAAAGTTTATACTTTACTGAAACAATATACCTTATAGGAAAAGGCATTTAGAATAGCTTCTTCATCCATAAATTTGCCATATTAGATGATCTAATTAAAATTAGCACTACTGACACAATAAAATTTAAAACTAAAGAACCGGAATAAAGGAAAATGCACTAACAGGAAAGTGAAAAAAAGAAGCCATGGAGTGAAAAGCACAATCCCATGCCTTCTTTCAGAATTATAGCATGAAACAGAAAGATGATGCTGGGGTTTAATAATCAACAGCAGAAAACCACAATCCCATCAATAGTACCATCCATTAGTAATCATAATTCAACGCTGGTAAGCAGTGAGAGAAATTAAGCAGACAGTAAGAAGAATGCAAGGAATTTATCTTTTCTGACAGAAACATTAGAAATGCTTTACTATATACTACAAGTAAAATATTACTACATATACTATATAACATATGCATACAGTGTATACATACACTATACACTGCAAGTAAAATATGTTACTTTCTTTTTTATTTTGAGACAGAATTTCGTTCTTTTTCCCCAGGCTGGATGGAGTACAGTGGTGCAGTCTCAGCTCACTGCAACCTCACAAACAACCTCTGCTTCCAGGTTCAAGCAATTCTCCTGCCTCAGCCTCCTGAGTAAATGGAATTACAGGCATCTGCCAACACACCCAGCTAATTTTTTTTTTTGTATTTTTAGTAGAGATGGGGTTTCACTGCATTGGCTAGGCTCGTCTCGAACTCCTGACCTCAGGTGATCCACCCACCTCGGCCTCCCAAAAATATGTTATTTTCAAACTTTTAATTAATTGGGTATTGTATTGATAGTTTTATAAATTGGTAGATAAGTACATCTTTATAAGGTGATCTTAAAAACACAAGCACAGGGCCAGGCGGAGTGGCTCACACCTGTAATCCCAGCAGTTTGGGAGGCCAAGGTGGGCAGATCACAAGGTCAGGATATCGAGACCTTCCTGGCCAACATGGTGAAACCCCATCTCTACTAAAATATAAAAAATTAGCTGGGCGTGCTGGCACGCACCTATAGTCCCAGCTGCTTGGGAGGCTGAAGCGGGAGAATTGCTTAAACCCAGGAGGCAGAGAGTGCACTGTGCTGAGATCACGCCACTGCACTCCACCCTGGCAACAGAGCAAGATCCTATCTTTAAAAAAAAAAAAAAAAAAAAAAAAAGCACAATAAATGCAAATGTATTTATAAGATCACCTTATAGATGTATTTATCCACCAGCTTATAAAACTATAAAACTATCAAGACTCAATTTAAAGAGTTGCAAAATTCCATACCATTTAAGTAATTATATGTAAATAACAAAATAGGCACCAGATATCCATAGACAATCTTTTTCTTTTTTTGAGAGGGACACTCACTCTGTTGCCCAGGCTGGAATGCAGTGGTGCAATCCTGGCTCACTGCAACCTTTGCTTCCCAGGTTCAAGGAATTCTTCTGCCTCAGCCTCCCGAGTAGCCGGGACTACAGGCGTATGCCTGGCTAATTCTTTTTCGTAGAGATGGGGTTTCCCCATGCTGGCCAGGCTGGTCTTGAACTCCTAGCCTCAAATGATCCACCCGCTTTGGCCTCCCAAAGTGCTGGGATTACAGGCATAAGGCACCATACTCAGACCATATATAATCATTTAAAGCACATAAAACAAGAAGTTGGAAGCACTGATAATGAAAGCAAAACTAACACAAAGGCATTATTAGTAAGATTAGGAGAGTAAAAAAAAGGCAGGTAAAGATGTAATTCAGAAAAGTATAGCTAAGCTATTAAGGAGTCTGTTTCACAGAGACATTCAAATGGCAAACACTACCTAGAAAAAAACCACGTTTAACAAGTGGTCAAGCAAAAATGCCTAATGCTAATTATGGGCCACACATTAAGAAATACTATTCTTAGAGACAAAGAGAAAAAGCTATGCATCCTCTGTGGATAAATGAGGGCATAAACACTGTGTCTCATGTTACTAAATCAACAATCCTTACAATTAATCCATACCTAAAATTAAAGACTGTCAGAACAATTTATTCCTTAGGCAAAAAAAAAAAAAAAAAAAAAAAAAAAAAAAAAATTAAGAGCCATATTGTAGGTGGAGCATGAAATTAAGGCAGGAAAAGAAGAAATGCTTACTACTGTGGATACAGTTTATTTCAGTAATGTGAAATTTTCTAAAACTATATGGCTTTGATGTCCCCAGCCCCCATTCCCAAATCAAAATAAATAAAACCTGAAAACAAAAAAGCAAGACCAAAAATATCTCACATTTTAAGGAACTTATCTACAGATTAATTCTGAGTATCTGAACTAAATATCTTTAAGTAGGTTACTTCTTACTTCTAAATATCTCTAAGTAGGTATAATTCTTAAGTGTATACTATTAACATGAAAATCAATTATCTCTATTAAATTCCACTTCTCCCTGTCAAAAATGGGAGTTTTCTTTCTTAGCTATATTATCTTCCATACATTTAGTAAGTAGTCATTGAATATCCTACTGCAAAATACTATTTTTCAATAACAGAAAATACCAAATTTTATAGTACATCTGGTTTCTTCCTTACTGCAGATGTTCTTTTTTGTGGGAGTGATACAGGGTCTCCCTCTGTTACCCAGGCTCCTGGAGCACAGTGGCACCATCTTGCACTGCAACCTTCGCCTTCTGAGCTCAAGTAGCTAGGCTGCCTCAGTCTCCCAAGTAGCTGGGACTACAGGTGCAAGACACTATGTTCAACTAATTTTTTTATATTTTGTAGAGATGGGGTTTCACCATGTTGCCCAGGCTGGTCTCAAACTCTTGAGCTCAAGCAATATACCATCTTGGCCTCCCAAAGTGCTGGGATTGCAGGCATGAGACACTGCACCTGGCCTCAGGTTTTTTTTGTTGTTTTATTAATTTTATTTTTTTTTGAGACGGGGTCTTGCTCTGTCGCCCAGGCTGGAGTGCACTGGCATGATCTCAGCTCACTGCAACCTCTGCCTCCCGAGTTCAGGCAATTCTCCTGCCTCAGCCTCCCAAGTAGCTGGGATTACAGGTGTGTGCCACTACACCGGGCTAATTTTTGTATGTTCAGTAGAGATGAGATTTCACCATGGTGGCCAGGCTGGTCTCAAACTCCTGACCTCAGGTGATCTGCCCACCTGCCTCCCAAAGTGCTGGGATTACAGGCATGAGCCACCGTGCCTGGCTCTCAGATGTTCTTATAAAAAATCACTCTAATGTAGTTGGCTAATTTGGGGAATTTTTGAGAATATGCAATGATTTAAAAATGTTATTTAAATGTCAGCAGTTTCAAAGTATCTTTAAATCAAACACCAGAAGTTTAAACAAAGGCATTTAAAGAAACTAAACGTGGTGATACTAATGTATGCTTGGACTAATACTCTTCATGTCTATCTTCGAAACAGCATCTTAAAAACTAGCTATTCTCAATACTCTGATATCATTTTTAAAAATGAAAAATGGTCTCTAAAAACTCTCAATAATTATTTCCTTCTCTTTGATTTTTAGCGATACTTATTTTAAGGAATGAAGACCATTATCAAAACCAGGGTCAAAAGCCTGCAAGATAAAAAGCTAACCTTGGCCGGGCGCAGTGGCTCAAGCCTGTAATCCCAGCACTTTGGGAGGCGGAGGCGGGTGGATCACGAGGTCAAGAGATCGAGACCAACCTGGTCAACATGGTGAAACCCCGTCTCTACCAAAAATACAAAAAAATTAGCTGGGCATGGTGGTGCATGCCTGTAATCCCAGCTACTGAGGAGGCTGAGGCAGGAGAATTGCCTGAACCCAGGAGGCGGAGGTTGCGGTGAGCCGAGATCGCGCCATTGCACTCCAGCCTGGGTAACATGAGTGAAACTCCATCTCAACAAAAAAAAAAAAAAAAGCTAACCTTTTCTTAAAGAAACAAAATGTATGTTAATTTGTAACATAAACTGTTGAGAAGCTAAATCAAAACGTCCTTTTTTTTTTTTTTTTTTTTTTTTTTTTAAATTATCAGTCTCCATAGAGACCATCAAAAATTGCCAGTGCCGACTGTATTGCAAGTCGTCACGGCGGGGTACAGGGAAAAGTTTTCAATTAGCAATAATCACTCCTCAGATAAACCTCATTGGCTGTGACACTGCCACTGCGCAAAGCTCAAAACATCCTTCTTATAGGATAGTACCAAAATGAAGTAATAGACACCACTTTGGATAATCTAACTCATGAGTACCTATGTCTTTCAGACGAAAAACCTTTTAGGATACAAATGATTTTAATAACATCCTAAAAGTACCAACAGTACACATTAATTCAGAAGTAATTTATACTGGTTCTAATAGTTGTGTACTTTGGTGTTTGTGTTTTCCATTAAGTAAAGGAATCTGGTATTCTGAAAATTTAGAATGTTTCCAAAATATTGTCTTTGAAACATTCTAAAATTATTAAAAAGCTCCACGATTGCCTATATACCAGCTTGGTCTTCTGTTCAATTTGTTCCTGCTCACCACCTTTATACAGGAAATCCCAGCATCACCTTTCAGAATGTAGTCACGCTAAAGCAGAACTGCCCTTTCTAATGGTCTGACTGGCTTCTACTTTCTCTGAAAATATAGTAAATGTAGTTAAATATTTGAAGGAATAATTTAGACCTTTTTTTTTTTTTTGGGTAGAGACAGGGTTTCACCATGTTGGCCACGCTGGTCTCAAACTCCTGACCTCATGATCCACCTGCCTCAGCCTCACAAAGTGCTAGGATTACAGGTGTGAGCCACTGTACCTGGCCAATTTAGACCTTTGGAAGTAGGTTAATTAGAAGGAGAAAAACTGGGAGTGGCAGGTGAGATGACAGGTCTTCTATTCTATTAAATAATTTCCTCCTGATTCTGGTACAATGTAGGCAGCATCTTGACAGCAGTAAGGTAAACAGAGATATAAAAATTAACAAAGAAAAGAAGGCCTCCACAAGAGTTACTTGCCTTTGATTTTTAAAATCAAGTACATAACTATAACTAGATTTCTAGTGTGAAAACAAAAGCCTGATGCAATCTACATATTAAATACTTTATTTTAAAGGATTCTAAGGGTATAAGGAATAGCCTTTGCACTAAGCAGCAAGATCCCTGGGTTTTCCTTCTCCAGAACTGCTGGTGCATTGTTGGTCAATTTATTTAATTCTTTGGGTTTCAGATCCTAATCCATAAAACAGGGGAGATACAATACTGTTTGAAGGCAGGAAGTGAGACAAGATGACCTCAAGTTCTCTTCTAGCTCTAAGATTTAGGATGTGTACACCAACTTGAGGTGGATTTTAAGAAGTAAAGACATGATCCTGGCACCAAGATACCCATGAGGGTCATCTGGCTTTAAGAGAAGAATGTTGATCTCTTACAAGCACGTTTCTAACCTTGATTGATTATTTCACAAATGCATGCTTCTGAACACGACAAAGACCTGAAGAGAGATCTTGAAGGGTTTAGAACAGTCACCACCATTCCTAGCAACACTTAAAGTTCATGTTCTACTAACAGTAATCAGCAACATTACTGTTTTATATGAAAGTCTGCTTTTACTTTCAGCAATATATGATATTGTTTACTTATGCAAAAGAGCAAATAGTCACGTAAAAACAAAACAAAAAACAAGAAAACCTGATTTCTTTCTTCAAGATTAAAACTCTAAAGGCTATTGCTGATCTTCAACAGTTCCATGGAAGATCTAATTGTGAGTCACTTGATGAAAGGCATTCTTGAAGGTTTACATGCCACAGATACACTCTGAATGGGGTTTAATTCTGCTAAGATAACTGATTATCAACCTGCAATCTTTGGGACATCATTTTTAAAAGTCTACTCCTAACATGCTGGATCCCCTAACTACTAATTGCTGTATTAACAATGAACTATCTTTGATTCAAGAGAGTAAATACAAATAGTCCCAGGACCTGTTATATGCAAACTGCAAGAGACAAATAATTTTAAAGTAGACTTAAGACAGCTGAAAAATGACAACCTCCAAAAGTTACGTAGCGCCTATTCCAATTCTATCAAAACATATCTATGAACCAGCTTTGAACAATTGGAACAAAAACATCCTTCAAGAGGTAAAGGATGAAATCCAGATATGTTATTTTGGATGGCTGGGTTAAATTTTAACTGTGCCAGATGGTGGCCCCTACAAATTCTTTTACCTTTTCCTAGAAGTAGAAATCTCATACTGTTTGGTCTGAACAGAAGAAGTATTTCAAACAGACTTTTCAAAAGACATTTTCACATGAGAAACAAAATGTTTAAACTGAAGAATGATTGACTATGTAATGTTGAAAAAACGTACCCAATACCATGTAACAACCATTTTTAAAAAGATGTCACTTGGCCACATGGTTCCTGACTAGTCCTAGAATGCCCCTCAGTCTTTTCTAAGACTTGTGAGCCTGTGGCATTTCCTCTCTGTGTATACTGCTGTATTTCCCTTTAAGGGTCCCATGATTCCTAAGTCTATGTTTTATATCATGTTTACTATTAATATAAAGGCTGCTGGGGAGAAAAGTACCCGCCATCTCCTCGAAAACACAAAGAGTGGAGGGCTGAGATCGGCCTGAGGACTTCAAAAGGTTTTGCTTGCCTTTGTTCTGGCTACACTCTCTCCTACAATACTACTATGTCCTGTGCGTTAAATTTCACCTGCGCTTCTGGCTACAATGTGGATACCACAGCCAAAAACACTTGCAAGCATCAATTCCTGACTTGGCGGCTCTTGCTACTAAGTGGCAAGCATCTAATGCCACCCTCACCTGATGCTTGGCCGTCTCCATACCCTCCAGAACTGTCGTCTTGAAGTCCTCCTGCTTGCCCTGTGGAAGGAAAGAGGAGAACTCAGGGACCTTACTCCATAAATTCGGATAATATCTGGACATAAAGGCCTAATAGTTGGCGACTCATGAATTCACCACCAACTAGTAAACCCATCTTCAGAGAGCTCCTTCTTCTGGAATCAAGGCCCAGGGAATTACATCATAGTCTTCCATTTTCTGGTCAGGAAGTTTCAACTTTACATGCTGATTCTTGTTGAAAGGCAGTGGAACAAAGTACATAGTATTTCTAATCACTAAATCCTTGCTGTCAGTCTTATTTAATATTAATAGTCTGGATAGGGGAAAATAGATGCCAAGGGTCTTTTACTAATGGTTGCTAGACTGAAAATGGAGGTGACATAGACTCTAGAACCTGGAGTTGCATTTCAGCATCTCAACTTAATATCCCTTCAACTTTCTAATTTTAATGAAAAATTCTCTCCTTCACTTCAAAGCAGGGAGTATAACTAAAAGACTTAGTCCCCAAAGAAGTTTCATGTACTATAATCAGTAGACACTACTACAGCTAAATATGCCAGTGCTTCCTAAATAAAACTAAAGGATACACAATAAGACACTCTGTACACATGTGCCAAGCAGTGTAGATAAACACACACTTGTGGGAACATACAGGAAGGCAGGCAAGATCTTGGATCTTCCGCTTCATGCTATATAACAAGCTTTGTCAAGAAATTTTCCTCATTGATTAACATGTAGAAGCAACTTCAAGAAAAGAATCAAAGCTTGAAAATTCAATCTGAAATGGAATAGACTGACTTCTGAACTCTTCCAAAATCTACCATCAAGACAGATGTTACAATGCTCTTAAGCTTCTAGTCACCTGGTACACTACAAGAAAATGAACATGATCTTTGGAAGATATAAACCACTACCTTCCAATGATCTAAATAAACTCAGACAAGCTTCATTAAACAGTTTATTTTAAAATAAACACCCCAATAAGAAAGTGGATTGATTATTCCACCATTTGAGTTAGAAGGGAACAAAGAGAATAAGAAGGTATTTAGATATAGGAAATTATTTCTAACAGTGATATTAGAATGTGTTACTCTGTTGTGAAGGTAGAATAGAATCTCATTCTAAACTTGTTCCACTATGCTCTTGTCTGAACGGTCCTTAAGATTACTATGCTCCTCAGACAAGGCCCAAGGTATACTTGTTTATAGCCCTTGGAAAAGGGTTTACAATCATGAAGAGAAGATCAGCTTACTAGATCCATCTGCAAACTTATCTCGAAAATATACGTCCTACATTTTAAACTGTATGATAAAGTTTAAATCAGATACATTCGTTCTTAGTAAATTCTGGATTTATTCATAAAAAATACTTTGTAGAGCTGGGCACAGTGGCTCACGCCTGTAATCCCAGAACTCTGGGAGGCCAAGGTGGGTGGATCACTTGAGGTCAGGAATTCAAGACCAACCTGGCCAACATGGTGAAACCCCGTCTCTACTAAAAATAATAATAATAAAAAAAAACTAGCCAGGTGTGGTGGCACTTGCCTGTAATCCCAGCTACTTGGGATGCTGAGGCAGAAGAATCACTTGAACCCAGGAGGTAGAGGTTGCAAAGAGCCAAGACTGTGCCACTGTACTCCAGCGTGGGCGACAGAGTGAGATTTCGTCTCAAAAAGGAAAAAAAAAAAATTATATATATATTTCATAGGGTTTCAAAAAATATTGTCATTTTTTTGTTTGGTTCCAAATAGAGCAAGACTGGATCAGAAAACTGAATTGTATTTGGGAAAGAAAAAGCAGGGAGGGATTCAGAACAATGAAACAGTTTCCAAGAATCACATTTAAGATTCCAAATAACACAGCTCTTCTCTTTCCAATTATGTTTATGACTTGGCAAAAATAAAAGTAACAATCTCTTGTCACGAAGGTATCTCACCACTACTAAAAACTTAGATAAAAAAAGAAAAACAACAAAAAACTCAAAAAACACACTTTCTTTTTTTTTTTTTTTTTTTTTAGACGCAGTTTCTCTCTTGTTACCCAGGCTGGAGTGCAATGGCGCGATCTCGGCTCACCGCAACCTCCGCCTCCTGGGTTCAGGCAATTCTCCTGCCTCAGCCTCCTGAGTAGCTGGGATTACAGGCACGCACCACCATGCCCAGCTAATGTTTTGTATTTTTAGTAGAGACGGGGTTTCACCATGTTGACCAGGATGGTCTCGATCTCTTGACCTCGTGATCCACCCGCCTCGGCCTCCCAAAGTGCTGGGACTACAGGCTTGAGCCACCGCGCCCGGCCAGAAAACACATTTTCAAGCTAGCTTGAGTCTGAATTACTTTATCTTTCCTATTTCTATCATTTTTCTTCTTTTCCAACTATTATACATGTCACGCAATGAACTCATTAATTTAACCTACAGGTAGCTCTTGACTGATTTTTGTATGTGACTCAATGGTGCTTTGACTCACAAAAAAATATGGTTTTCTTACCCGACTTGCATACTCAACAGGTTAACAAGAACAAAAGAGCAACGAAGCAGTCTTTTTTGTCTTCTGGTTTTGAAGAAAGGAATTTTAAAACTTCTTTAAAAAGATACTGTATTCTTTGGCTGGGTGTGGTGGCTCATACCTGTAATTCCAGCACTTTGGGAGGCCAAGGTGGGTGGATCACAAGGTCAGGAGTTCAAGACCAGACTGGCCAACATGGTGAAACCCCATCTCTACTAAAAAATAAAAAAATTAGCTGGGCATGGTGGCTCGTGCCTGTAATCCCGCCTACTTGGGAGGCAGAGGTAGGAGAATTGCTTGAACCAGGACCCGGGAGGTAGAAGTTGCAGTGAGCTGAGATCATGCCATTGCACTCTAGCCTGGGCTAGAGAGTGAGACTCCATCTAAAAAAAAAAAATAAAAAAAAAAAAAGAAAAAAAAAAAAAAGATACTGTTTTTTTTAATTTAAAAAATAGGAGAGATACAGAAAATATTCAATACCCTGGGAAGATTTTTAAAGGGATCCCATAACAACAAAATGTCAAAAAAGAAATCAAACTCCAGGCCAGGAATGGTGGCTCATGAGGTCAGGAGTTCAAGACCAGTCTGACCAACATGGTGAAACCCTGTCTCTACTAAAAATACAAAAATTAGCCCGGCGTGGGGTGTGCACCTGTAATCCCAGCTACTCAGGAGGCTGAGGTGGGAGAATCACTTGAACCTGGGAGGCAGGGGTTGCAGTGAGCTGAGATGGCGCCACTGCACTCCAGCTTGGGCGACAGAGCAAGACTCTGTTTCAAAAGAGAGAGAGAGAGAGAGAGAGAGAGAGAGAGAGAGAGAGAGAGAGAGAGAGAGA